AAAACCAATAGGTTAGCATTTATTATTAGCAACACAATATCTATATGTAAAAAAAAATAATTATTATGATATCTTAAAATCTAAACTTACCCTTGAGCACATAATTCAATTTATGATGACTCTGTTGTTTCTTAGAGGCATAATTAGTTTACTGAATCTCTACCAACATTTGGAGGTAACAATTATTAAATTATAAATTAATTATCTTAGCAATATCCTTTGTTCAAATTAACAATAGCTATTTTTTAATTTTAAAGCATTGAACTTTTGAAACCTATCATAAATGATAAATTTACTTTAAAGAGCCTAAGTAGAAGTTTTATAACCTTATTAAGCACAAATTCCAGTGCTTTGAATAAACCCTAAATAATATGACGACTAAGGATACAAGATACATTATTTCTTGTCATTTGTTAAACAAATATTTTATGGATCATTTAAACATTTATCAACAGTACCACTTTAAGCTGTTTAATTTACTGTTAAGCACTAATTATTAGTATCTCTACCAACATATTATTAAAGTGATAATGTTTTACAAAAACCGTTTAAAGAGCATCCATTACCAACTTGTCCATAATCTACAGTTTATTAACATGTTTGTGTATTACTATCCAAACAAAAAGCTGGCAATTAAGCACATCTAAATTTTAGAAAAAAAATAATTAAAATAACATCTACTTTTTAAAAATTAAATAACCTAAAAAAAAATAGTATTGGTTTAAACAAAATAAAATATTTTAAAATTTTCAAATGATTTAAAAATAAATAAAAATATTAAGAGAGGAAGGAAGGTAAAAGCCAAGTGCCATTCAAAAATTTAGTGATTTGAGATAATATAATACTAATAGGTATTTAAAATTTTTAATATTTCACTCCTCCCTTTTTAATAATATTTAAAAATTTATTATATAAATTTACTGAGTCGCTTATTTCTAATTCAAATTTAAGCAATTTTATGAAGAATCCGATCCAACTAACCCTGCTGTACCGTTTAAAAGATAACACGCTTACTACGAGAAAATAGTTGAATATTTGCAATGATAATCTGCACACTTCAATATATCTAAAAAATAAATTATACATGAATGAAATGTAATTAATTAAATAAATGAATCCTACTTGAAGACATAACATTTTATGACCTGGATAAACAGTTTCCATTTATGTCAACTCCCTTTTTTGATATATTCAAATTTATTTTATTTTTAAGATAAATTTTATATATACCGAAAAATTTTGATTTGAACTAGATAATAAATTGCATGTTGAATTTTGTAAGCAGCAGTTATAACTTTTAAATGCGCATTATATAGATTAAGACTGTTATGCTTATGCACACTAACCGTTTGATAATTTAGCTATTAATACTCCATCAAATCCAATCATTTTGCAACTATTATTTGCTATACAGTAACTAAATAAATCGAAGTTATTAACATCATTTTCATGTAATAATTATTTTACTCTTTTGCACATAATTCAACCTTTTGGTATTATGCTTAATCAGCTTTTAAACACCTTGAATTTAACTAATCTCTTCCTGCATAATTAGGAACTATAAGCTAGATTTTGTATGAATCATCTTAGCAATAGTTTTGATTCAAGTTGGTAATACCTTATTTTAAATGTGATATAATTTAAAATTGATATCAATAAATTTACTTTGAAATCCACTTGTTGATATTTGAACACCAGGTTATGCACAAATTCCTGTACTAGAAATATATCCTAAATATGTAGAATCTTATGTATAATTTATACATGCCCTATAATCACTTCTTTTGCATACACTTTAAATATCATCAAAGCAATTTAGTAATGTATTCGTACTTGTCTATTAATTTTGTAAGCACTAATAGTAAATATCTCTACCAACATATTATTATTTTGACATTTTATAGCAAGACCCATTTAAAATACAAATATTATTAAAGGCAGAATTTGAATTAATTCTAGTACATTTAGAGGTTTGGAGATCCTTACAAATATTTTATGAATTAAAACAACTATTATAAATTTAAAAAATTTTAATAACTGTAACATAATTAAAAAGCAGAAATGAATATAAAGAAAAGCTTTAACCCCGCTTATCAAAGTGTAAATTAAAATCTTTTTAAAAATACCTTTAATAAAAGAAAAGATAGGAAGGTTTTTTAATTAATTTTATTATTTTGATTTTTTATTAAAATAGAATTGTTTAAATATTCTTTTAAGGTTTTCATTTAAATATTTTATTCTTTTAAATCTATATCCTTAAATAAAATATTATGATAAATTAAATAGTATATTTTTACATAAACATTTCTACTTAAGTAAATTATAAACATTCATGAAAAATGTTATTGAAAAAATAAAAAAAATAATTCAATTCTTTTACCTGCTCGCAATTGTATTAGAATCAGTACAATTACCATTATTATCTATTCCAATTGCACTGTCTGACCCATCGAAAAGAAAACACCCTTTTGTTCCAGAAGATTATTTAATACAATAACCTTAGCTACATGATTACAAATCTATTTTAATTAATATAAATAAAATTGTTTTAAATATAAGAGAAGTATAAATTTAATTAATAAAAAGTAGTACCACTATAATATTAATTTGCTACAGCACACATTCCATTTGTCCTTAAACCCTTAATTAAATTATTATCAAATTTTTATTATTTACGTATTCATTTTATATATTTATATGTTTATACAACAGAGTTAGAGTTCGAGCTTGACACTTACAGGCATATAGAGTTTGGTGACAAGCAAGCTGGATATAATGTGTAACATTAAACTGAGTTTTATGTATTTAGCTATGCACAGGTGTTATCATTTAATTTAGCAGGATATTATTAAGATAAATTAACACAAGAATTACCATAATAGCATTACCTAAAGATTTTAATTAATGTATGGGAATAAATTAGTATTTTTTATTGAAATTAAATGCATCTACTATGAAAGGCAAGTATTTAGTTATAAAATAAAAGGATATTTTTTCTTTCTGATCTAAATTAGACAAAATCCTTCTTAGCTGACTCCCTTTTTTTAATAAAGAAAAGCTAAATTAAAGATCTAATATTAAAAAATCAATACATATATCTAAGGATTATTTGTTCCATCAATCTTCTAACAACTTTTATTCTAATCTTCTTCAAAAATACAATATTATTGTTTGCAGCTTATCAAAGTTTCTTTTGGAAAGTATTATCCTTGATAAATGCACTAATTATCACCAGTCTTTCCCTTATTTAAAGAAATTTATATTTTTAAAATATCATGATTGAAAATATGTTTCAAAATTACAACAATGTCCGAATTCTAATAATTTATACAAGCGTACTAGTCCTATGAGTTTTTTATTTGGCATAAACTTTCATTACAATATACTTTGTGAAGATAGAATTAATTTTAAAAGACGCAAACTCCAAGAGAAGTAATTCCCTTTTTAATAAAATCAACCTATTAAGAAAAGTAACATCAAATTAATTAAATTACATCCACTTGATTTAGATCTAAGCATTTATTTTTACCCACTAAATAACATGATGTTCTATTTAGTATAATTCTTAATTAAGAAATACAAGATATTTTTGATTAAAAGGAAATTTTACTTTTATCTACAGTTTCTAAATTATCCACCTTCTAAATAATTGCATAAAGATAATACAGATGTATTTTATTTTACTTGACCTAATTTAATTCGACCATACAAATCCTAACAAAAGCCTTGTTTGATAAACTTCAATTCTATTTATATAAAAGAGATAAAATTAGTGATTATGCTTGGCAAAAACAGTTCAATAGAAATATGAAATTAGCAATTTTACTTTGCGGTGAATTAAAATTAGATGTAAATTCATTCTAACCTATACAGACATTTCCTGAATGTAATATAGCTACTATGTGATCACTTTTTTAAACTTTTATACAGCTTTTTCTATCTTAAGATATACAAACAGGCTCATAATCACTTTTACAAAAGTCAATTAAGTCATATTTAATAGCATCAATTACACAATATCCATAGCGCATTTCTTTTCCAATGTATTCTTTACCATCAACCAACTTACATTATTGCTTTTTTTGGTCAAAGCATTAATTTTCATGATTGCAACTGCATACAATGAAGGATAAATATTAGCTTAATAGTATTGCTAATAAATAGAGTTTCATAGATATTAGGCAGACTATTTAATTAAGTTTAAGAAAATATTAAATTATAGTAAAAAATTATTAAATAAGTCATACAATTAAATAAAGAAAAAAAATATTATTTATTAACTTACATAAAATGAAGCTAATTTGATTAAAAGTATTGTAAACCAACTTTTAAGTATATTTTTTTATTTTTTGTTGTAAATATATTTTTAGAGATTAAATACGTAATTTGATTTCTAGCTTTGTAAGCCATATAAATTATTTTGAAAAGATATTTTCAAAAAATAATAATTATTTCTTTAAATTTTCTTTTTTAAAGGAGAATTAATTAAATCCAAGAAATAAATCTATCTTATATAGAAAAACTCATTTATTTATTGATTAAAACCTATTTTATAATAATGTATTTTGAATCAATATAATTTTTTTTTGAATTTTTCCTTTCTATTTTTAGAATTTATTTCTTATTAATTTTTTTTTCAAAAAACTTTAAGCTAACATTATTTTATATTTATTCTTATACTATTCTTAATCTATTTCTATTGATAACTTTATTTTTATTAACATTATTATTATTTTCTCATGAATTAAGTTTTTCTTCACTAGCATCCTCGCCATGATCAAAATCACTAAATTAAGAATTTGTTTCTGGCAAGCTATTATTTAGAGATATTTACTCTATATTTTAAATTTCTTCTTCACTATAAAAATTGGCTTACTTTTTATTAGGGAAAAAAAAAATGAAGACCGCACCCGGCTGTGACCCCCCCCCCTTATAAATTCTAAAAATAAAGCTAAATTAATTTAAATATTTTATTTACATTCTTACATTCAATGCAATTAAAACAAAATTAAAAACAATACAAAAAAAAATATTTTATTTATCAAATTTATGCCTAATCACTTATTGTTTTTGTTGTTTAATTTCTTACATTATAAAATTACTTCAATTTATCTTTAGCATCTTTATTCTCAAAATTTTATTTAAAATCTATAAATTTCATATGAGAAAGTATTAATCTTAATTTTTCCCATTGTATTTAAGCTTTCAGACTTCTTTCTACATACTTATCCATATTAATTAACTTAACTATGAATTTAAATTTTGATGATTTTCCCTGCATTATTTATATAATTTTTACTAATTATGGCTTATAGTTAAACAAAATCTATTAAAATGTTATAACCATAGTCAGTAATACTAGACAAACAAGAGCTATAGTATATGTAAGTTAAAGCTCTTTCTAATCCAATCTGAATTACATTGAATTCAAGCAAAAACATATTGTAGTCAGGCATGAAATTCTAAAATCCAAAACATTTAATTTCTTATTGACATAAGGATAAACTATTTAAATGTTGAAAACAATTTTAGTTTAAATAATTTATATTCATTAAAAAAAAGTACAAAAAATATATATTTATAATTTAGAAAAGTAATCAAAAATTGTAATTTTAAATTTAAATGAATATTTTAAATTAATTGGATTTTTAAAAACAGTTTTAAAAATAATCTGAATTAAAGATATTTAAAGTAATTACAATTCTAAGTTAAAAGAGTGTATGTTAATGACACAAGGATTGACATGACTATCTATAACTGAGTAGGTAAATATGAAAATTGCATGATAAAGAAAAGAAACATTTTATAAATCAGCCTGACTAAATCCCATAAGTGATGCTATTATTTATATTCATAAGTAAAGAATCCAAATAAAATCTAATTTTCATAAGTTTTTCTGATAAATCTCCTTTAGTAGATTTTAAGCATAAAGTATCCATAAATTATTAGTAAAGCTGAAACTACTAATGCTAAAGCTATCAAGTTATAAGTATTATTATTTTATAATTCGCTACATGAAATAGATAAATACTCAGTTACAAAAAGTTAGTTGTCAAACACCTAGCAATTTAACTTTAAAAAAAGAGTATTAAAATATTTATTTTATTATAATTTAAATAAAAACTTACAGATCTAAAGATTTTGGAAAATATTGCATTTATTGAATAGTAGACAAATATACTTGTAGAAAGTATTATATCATTTAAATATTTTTTGCAGTTAAATTTTTTAAAAATAAAGATGTAACATAGCACCAAGCAAAAAATATTTAAAACATTTATCATTAATAAGAAGTAAATACCTTTAAAAATTATACTAATTTATTGCAGGATCTAAACTAAAAAGCACTCAGAAATCTTTAATTTATCACTAAAAAGATTACCAATATCAATAAATAGTTAAGATGCAAATTTTGGGATATTAGAATCATAAAAAAGCATTATTCCAATTAAAGATGATTAAAAGATCAAAATTTTGATTACACTAAAAACATTTATGGTATCGTAACCATAAAATTTTTTATAAAGTAATAAGTAAATAATTTTTGACATTATCTTCATATTAATTTATTTCTTTAATCTTTAAGATAAATAGATTGATATAATGAATCCCAGGATTGATATTATCAAAGGATAAATGATTTCTGTAAATTTTATATCGCTGCATCTATTAAAATTTAAAATAGGTTTTGTTAAAAATGAAAACATTCATAAAAATAATTACCTTGAACATTTTTAGTCTAATTTCATGAAATAAGCTTCACCCCAATATTCTCCACTTCTATCACAATCTTCACAAAGGGCTCCGACATATCCTAATTTATATACAAAAATAACAATATGTTAATAAGTGAAAAAAAATTACCTTATTTGCAATAGTAATTCATATCATTGTGCTTAGGTGAAAGTTAACCTGTTAAAATGACTTCACTTATTTCAATGTCGCCTTCACAATTTTTACATGGGTATAAAACTATTGATTATTGATTTACTCTCCATAAATTTGAAGGCAAAAAGATCATATCTCTATAACATTTAACTGAATAATCAGGGCACGATTAACATTAACTTGCTATACTAAAGCTATATTTAGTATCTTTACAGTCTTAACATTAATCATATTTTTATTAAAATTTTATAGGTATCTAGCCAATTAAGCAATTTTGAGCCATATCTATAACAATAATTAATGAATAATTAGTATAACCAATTATGTATTAGCTTGAATTGAATATGGGAATTTGAATTAAATCGCTTGTAACTTAGAACTTAAGTTATTAATTGAAGTTTCCATAAACTTTAATTTACTGAGTTAAATTAAATTCACCATTTTAACTATAAATTTTATTTGAATTTAAGTAACCATTTCCTTCTAAAATGGTTATTTAAAGAAAGCTATATTTAGGAATATTCAAAATTTCTTAATTCTAATCACTACACAATCTTAAAATTATATCTTCCTTTAAATATTAAAAATATTTTATTTAAGAAGGTTAAATATTTATAAAAAAATTAATTTAATATTTAAATTATAAAAGCTAATTTTATAAATGAACTTAAATTATAATTAAAAGTTTTTACCTTAAGATACCCCCCAAAATGATTTTATATTTGTAAGATATTTGAGTCTGATAAACGCTTACCATTTATAGAAGCACTAAATTTTGTTGGTGAGGTTTAAATGTTGTCCCCATATTAAGAAGCCTTATTTTTTAAATATGTATTATTTGAAAATCTATTCACTCTTTATCCTGTGGTTGACCCTAATGCTCCTCCATAACTTGCTTAGTTTTAAGTAAATGTGCAGTTACTTAAATTAATTAAATTTATTAAAATATTCTTTTATGTATTTTCTAAAAAAATAGCTCCACCATATTAGCTAGCTTTATTTTATTCAAAAATAGTTTCATAAATAAACATACTAGATTATTTTAGGTATATCGCTCCTCCATTTAAGTTTGCTTAATTATTTTTGAATGTAGAATTAATGATTATTAATGTATCTAAAAACACTTATTATGCATTAATTGAGTTTGCAAAGTATTATTAAGCTTATTCTAAATATAATCCTGGTCCATAAGATGCTATATTATTATAAAAAGTAGAATTTAATATTTGCAATTTTGAACCTACTATTTAAATTGTCCCAAATACGCAATATTGACATATGTTATTAACTACTTTTAATTTATAAATTTAGCTGTTCTAGCTATTATAAAATACTGCACTTTATGCATCTTATCTTTAATTATTCATATTATCTAAGATATTTCTATTGCTTTAAATTAAAGTATCATAGATATAAAAGTTCAATAAGCCTGTAGCTGTAATCATATTACTTAAAAAATAGCTATCCTTATAAATATTTTATACATCATAAAAGTTAATAGCTTCTTAAATTATTAAAATTTATTAAAAAATAAATTTCAGATTCTCAGAAATTTAGAAATCATATGATATGCCTGTTGATAACTAAAATGTCGAACTTACGATTTCAACATCATGAGCTTTTTGTATATAAATTAATGAAGAATCAACTGAGTAAATTTATAACCAAGCTTATTTACTAATTATGTTTTAAAGAATCTCAATTACTTCTATAAAGTATTTAATCTAACTTGTAATAACTAAACTACTCAATATTATATAAGATTTCGAATTAGATTAATTTTGTATGTTAATATTACTTCCTCTGCATACAGAGAAGTTATTAATAAAATGACTCATTTTAATTGTTATGGTAGTTTTAAAATAAGTAGAAGGTTAGATCAATATAGCCCCTCCTTGGTTAAATGCGAAGTTTTTAGAAAAATTAGATTTGAATATATATCCATCAAAACCTTAAGATAATCTCCCATTAACAAATATTGCTCCACCTTGAGTCTCTAAGTCATCACTACTAAAAGCTACGTTGCTTAAATATTCGCTCTCTATTGATGAAAAACTACCTTTATTCTATGCTGTCCAATAAACTGCTCCACCAATTAATGCATTGCCATTAATAAATTTAGACTTATAGATATGAAGTACTT